GCCTGTAGTTCCAGCTACTTGGGAGGCTGAGGCAAGAGAATCACTTAAGCCCAAGAGTTTGAGGTTGCTGTGAGATGTGATACCATGGCACTCTACCCAGGGCGAAATAGTGAGACTCTGTCTCAAAAAAAAGAAAAGTCATTACTCAACAGTCATTACCATCTGCTATGGCCAAGGAACTGCACTGAGTAAAAGCTCTTATGGAGCTTAACGGTCTGTTGGGAAGAACAGACACTAATCAATAATAATAGTAATGAAAGAAGATAAAATCTGTCTTTGAGAGGGTATGGGATCACAAATAAGTCACATGGGGCTTTATGTCATTTCATTTCACTCAACACAGGAGTATTTGCAGCTGCCCACAGGCTTTCGCTTGTTGGTCCAGTAGTGTCTTTGGACTGTGTACCAGGTAGTTTGGCTCCTATTTCATACTTGGTGTAGTTCTGCACAGAGCTTGATCTGGATGCTACCAGGTCAGGCTCTCCTTAGACTTTATATCAACTTAAAAGATAATTTCACTCTGCCATCTGCTCTCTGCAAACTTTAACTTAGAAAAAGCTGGCCTGTTTTTTCTAACCTAGGGGGCATTTGCCATCTGGCAGGTTAGGCAAGAGGTGGTGGCTGTGGTTAAGGAGACTTGAAAAGGATTTTCTAAAGAGAAGGAAACCAAGCAAGCCCCTTTGGCCAGAAATAATTGTGGGCCTGGTAATGGTTTCCAGGGAACACATTTGGATTCAATTATGATGCATTGTGAAGTGCTGAGAGCTCCAGGGCTATCCTGTGTAAGATGTTTAAGCCAAATAAAATTTGGAAGTGGAGTTTGTTCAAATCCTCAAGGAAATTACTGTTTGGATTTTTAGAAAGCTTCAAATATTAAAATGGAACCTTTGGGCCAGGGTCTAAAAAAATTGGCCTGTATCTTTCAGATATCTGGCTAAAGACAGTAAAGATTATAATACAAGTTAGAAATAGGCTGAGGTTTGTATTTTTGGTGCTTAACATTTCTTGGGTCACTATCACATGAATTAGGATGTGTGGGGACAGCTGGGGACTATTTTGCTAGGTAGTATTTATTTCTTTATAGTTTCAAACGAGATCTTTTGAAATATATTTAATTTGCTTACATAGCTGAAAGATATTTCTGATTTATAACCTATATTACTTGAGTTTTTAGATATTCCTATTTTTATGGAAAATACTTTGCAGTTTAAAGTATTTAACTTTTTTTTTCTCTTTAGGAAAATAAAGCAACCAACATAGATCATTTAACAACTGTGCTCTACCTCCAGTTTGCCATTTGTTCAAGTTTGCAGAACTTGGAGAAAACAATTTTTTGCCTGCAGAAACTGATTTCTTTGCATCCTTTTAATCCTTGGAACTGGGGCAAATTGGCAGAGGCTTACCTGAATCTGGGGCCAGCTCTTTCAGTGGTGTTTGCGTCATCTCAGAAACAGAACAGTTTCACCTCGAGTGACAAAACTATCAAATCCTCCTTTCCAGGCTCAGGAAAAGACTGCCTGTTGTGTTTCTCTGAAACCTTGCCTGAGAGCTTGACGTTCTCTATGGACAAAAGTAGCAGTAATAGCCAGAAAAATGAGAAAGCTCTTAAAAATATCCACGACTGTATGGCAGAAAAGAGAGAAGCAGTTTTGCTGGAGACTCAGATGAAAGCATGTGCCTCTTTCATACGAACCAGGTAAGCTGAGGGTAGATTACACAACACGTGATAATTAACTCAAAAGTGAAGCTTTTATTTTTCTAATTTTAAGCTTCGAAAACTTTTAAGCTAAACACTTGATATTTTTGAATTTTTCCTATAGTCTACATGTTCCAAGGATTCCTTTTAGTATGTAAGATTTGGAAACAAAACTACATTTGCTCAAGAATATAACCTGTCTCTAATCCTAGCACTTGGGAGGCCCAGGCAGGTGGAGTGCCTGAGCCAGAGTGAGACCTCTTGTCTAAAAATTAGCTGAGCATTGTGGCAGGCACCTCTAGTCCAGCTACTTGGGAGGCTGAGGCAAGAGAATCACTTGAGCCCATGAGTTTGAAGTTGCTGTGAGCTATGATGCCATGGCACTCTACTGAGGGTGACAAAATGAGGCTCTGTCTCAAAAAAAAAAAATACAACCTATATCATTGCTCAAGATAGAATGTTAAAACCAGGAAACATTAAAATATTAGGAAAAGAAAATTAAATGTGTAAAACATTGGAAAAGGGACAGGAGACTTCTTTTTTTTTTTTTTTTGCAGTTTTTGGCCGGGGCTGGGTTTGAACCCGCCACCTCCAACATATGGGGCTGGTTCCCTACTCTTTGAGCCACAGGTGCCACCTCGAGACTTTTTTTTTTTTTTAAATAGAGTCTTACTTTGTTGCCCTTGGTAGAGAGCCATGGTGTCATGCATAGCTCACAGCAACCTCAGACTTTAGGGCTCAAGTGATTCTTTTGCCTCAGCCTCCTAAGTAGCTGGGACTACAGGCTCTTGCCAGAACTCCTGGTTGTTTGTTTTAGAGACCAGGTCTTGCTCTTGCACAGGCTGGTCTCTATTTCCTGAGCTCAATCAATCCACCTGCCTGGGCCTCCCAGAGTGCTAGGATTATAGGTGTGAGCCGCCCCACCCAGCCTGAGAAGAGATATTTTAAAGAAGGAATTTTGCACTCATTCTACATAAATCTAAAGAAGAAAATTTGCTTTTGTTTGAATTGCTAATAATGGGAATAAATGATGCTTAATTCTACAGAGAATTCCTATGGTTTGCCCCTAGGGACTCCAGGTACGTTATATCCTAAATGTGTAAGAGTCTGGTGGAAGCTATGGGGGAACATACTTGACTAGTTCTGTAATTTATGAGAGAAACAGCAGGATTATGTTTCAAATGATGCCAAAGAATTTGTATCTTGAGAATTCAAGAACTATTAAAGTGAGGCTGAACAGAAGTGGCATTTATTTGGCCAATTTAAAATGATGCCTATTCACTGTCGACTGTATTGTTTCAATTCAGATGCACATTAAATAATAGCTTGCAGGCCAGGCACCTGATTAGTTCTAAAATCATAAAGATAGTTTAAAAAGCAGTCTCTTTCCTTCTGATCCTCACTGTATTGGGGAAATGTACGTCTAGCCAGTGACTGGCAGCACAGGTGCTACAGAGACAGACCCATGTCAGGGAGCGGATGGCGTGGCAGGAAGAAGGAAGCCCTTCCAGAGGGGTGATGCTTCTGCTGGTGTTCGTGCAGGAACTCGTGTCATTTGGCCACCAAGATTGACCTACCCCTAAACAGAAAGAAAGGGGTAGAGGCTCTGGGGTAGACCAGTATTGTCCCATAGTCTGGTGGCAAGAGCAGCACTGGGGCAGGAGCTCAAGGTAGGCTGTAAACCATGGTGTCAGGGTGGCAGAGTAAGGAGGACAGAACTTTGAATCTAGTTTTAAAGAATTTGGTAAATTGTTGGTATTGAGTGAATGAACTCTTCCCCTTGCTAGCTGTCGATCCTGCACAAATCTCTAGTTTCCTCATCTTGACAGGTGGTAAAAAGGGGAAAAGACTTACATGCTGGGATTAGAGAATTAAAGTATCCAAAGTACTTACTGTACTGCGTGGTATAGTAGGCTCTTGAGAGATGTTAGCTAGGAGCACTTTTATAGTTTTTGTTTTCATTATTTGCACAAGACATTAGATGTCATCTTAAAGGCTTTGGTCCTGAAGGCCTAAAGAATATGTGAAGTCTTTAAATACTAAGAGTGTGCAGTAAGAGAGAGTAAGAGAGTGTGATTTAGAGAGAGAGCCAGATGGGATGGGTTGATGGTATGATGGGTTAGAAGGACTTTGCAGCTAAGCCCTCTGGTGTAGAAGCTGTGTACTAATTGGTAGAAGGTGATGAGGGCCTGACCTAGGATAGTGCAGTGGTAATAAAAAGAAGAAGCAATGTCATTTCAGGACGGAATAGACAGGACTTGGTGATCAGTGAGTGTCTGAGAGGGCTGGTGGCGGGGAGAGCATAGGTGTCTCTGAAGAGTCTGTCTTGGGAATGCAGGTAGATGATGGTGCCTTTCACTGAGACAGGACACATGGGAGGATGAGCAGAGCAGATTGGGGTGGAAGGTCATGATTTTAGGCTTGAAATATTGAGGTTCAGGTGCCTGTGAGACATCCAGTGAGAGCTCTTAGGAAATAGTAGAGTTCAAAAAGGGAGCTAGAGATTTAGAAGAATCAAGAAAGAGACTATCAGTCAACATAATGGGAAGTCAGGTGGGATCAGTTCTGAGGAGAGGCTCATTTGTGCAGAAAATGGTCTTTTTAATTGTGAATCGGGTGGTGGTCCTTTATAAAACTCTCCAGCAGCTTCCCATTGCACTTATTCACAGCCACATTTCTTTCCATGGCTGCAAGGTTTCTGCAGTGATGGTAATGATTTTCAAACATACCAAGCTAGTTCTTGTGTCAAGGCCACCTTCTCCCTGGCTAGGTCCTGAGCCCAGATGTTCTCTTGGCTGGCTTGTCGGGATCTGGGGAAGCCTTCCTGCGCTGCTCCCTCTGAAGATGCTGCATCCACCCTGTCTTCCAGTTTGTTTGTTTGTTTTCCTTCCATGGCGCTTATCACTACCTGAAATTACTTATTTGCAGTCTCCCTTTTCCTGTCCCACAAGGCAGGCTCACCAACATCTCTCAATGCCTAGAGCAGTGGTGGGTACATTCCTCACTCTGTGGAATAAACAGAGAAGGGCAGTGCTTCTGGGCCTGGCAGCAGGGACCAGCGAGGCCCGAGGAAAGCTGGAAAAACCTGCACATTCAATATTTTAAAAAATAATGAAGAGAGGAAGTCAAGTGGGGAAGACAGAGGGAGGAAGAATGAGAGAGGAGACCAGGTTATGGTGCTGATGGGGGAGTTAGTGGTAAGGTGGTAGTCAGCAGAGGGTCATCAGAGACCATTTGGCCTTGCTTCGTGGAATTGAAGGGTGCTAGTGAAGCTAATTAGTCCTTAAGGTCACATTGCTGTGGGGTTTGCTCCCTAAAGATTTCTTTGAGAAGTTTTGGTCTATTCATGTTGGAAAAGATGAATCTCCAATTGGCGATTTATTCAGAGTAAGAAGCTTTAGGGGTTCAAGTGATAGTTTAAGGGGGCCAGCCGCAGTGGCTCATGCCTATAATTCGCACTGGAGTTCAAGACCAGCCTGAGCAAGAGCGAGACCCCCATGTCTACTAAAAATAGAAAAATCAGGCATAGGGTTGAGCACCGGTAGTCCCTTCTGAGGCAAGAGGATCACTTGAGCTTAGGAGTTTAAAGTTCTGTGAGCCCTGACACCACAATATTCTACCCAGGGCAACAGAGTGAGACTGTGTCTCAAAACAGAAAGGTAGTTTAAGAAAGGGTGGGTACCTTCTTTTTAGCTTAGTAAGACTCACATCCCACTGAGCACCTGGCCCCTACGTCAGCATTTCTTCCGTGCTTTCCTCTAAGTGGAGCCTACACATTGGGGCTTTTCGGTTTTTCAGGCTTTTGCTTCAGCTCACCCAACCTCAGCAGACATCGTTTGCTTTAGAGAGGAACTTAAGGACTCAGCGGGAAATTGAGGATAAAATGAAAGGGTTCAGCTTCAAAGAAGACGTTTTGCTGTTGATAGCTGAGGTGAGTGTATTTTCTTGGGTTTATGTGAAACAAGGCAGTGTTAAATCTTTTTCCTGACTCCCATACCATTTTTAAAAACCAGGGCACATCTCATTGACCGAAGGACTTGTGTCTCCTTCCTTTATGAGTGTTTTGGTCACTTGGCAGTCACCAGCGCAGCCTCTTTCTCACCACCACCCCCCCCCAGCGGGCTCGCCTGCGGGGCGCGTTTCATGTCCTTGTCGGTGCTTGTTAGCACCTGCCTGTCTGGGCATCGTAAATGCCCAGTAACTGTTAACAGTGGCGAATGAATGAGGTGAATAAATGCTCACATCTGCTCACAGTTTTTGTTTGTATTTTTCTTCCCTTCATCCCCATTAACAGATCATGAAGCTAGGTAGAGCTGGAATTGGGGTTCAGAGAGGTAGTGACTCGCCCAAGGTTAATTTCCAGCAGCACAGCCGGGCTGGAGCCCGTGTTTGCCAGCTGCAGGTCCGTTTCCTTCCTCCTTCATCCTTTGCATCTACTTCTAGGTCAGTATAGTTTGAGTTTCCATAAACACATTGGATCTCTGAGTTTGTAGGCATCTTAGAGGTCATCTAGTTCAAATCCATCTGTGACTTAAACTCCGTCTACAGTGTCCCTACTAGATGGCTACATAATCTTTCATGCCAAATGGTATGAAATGTTTTAGAACTTAATTTTAGTTCACTGTTGTTACCAAAGGTTAGGCTAATTATTTAGTGGGTTCTGGTATAAGTTTTCTACAACCTAACTTAATGATATCTTATTAAAGAGAAACTAACCCAGAATTTGGGGTCAGGTTCATCTAGGCCTGGGTATGACCAGTAGGGAGCAGTATCGTGCCTTCAGTGGGTAAAGGTTCTCCTATGTCCCCAACATTGCTTTGGTTAGAGAGGGATTGGAGTCGCAGGGTCAGGAAAGGGTAGGTTCATCTACTTGATGCTTGATTGTTTACTGCCTTCCAATTTTTTGGAATCTTTGAGAGACAGGATCTGTGCCACACAGCACAGCAGTTACACTCTTGGCAGGCTCTGCCCTGTCCTTCTCAGCCCTCTACAGGAGGGAGAATCACTTGCTTTTGCATTCTCACCAGCAGAAGATGCTCTTGGAAAGCGAAAGACTGACTCAGTACTCCTGATAGGCCAGATGTTACTGCTGCCTCATTAGTACTTCTCTCAGGGAGGATGAGAGTAGACATATGGGATCTTTTAAATATATGGTCCTAGGATAACTACTTCTAAGCAGACATCAGTATGTTGGAAATGTCACCTGGTTGCTAAAGTATTTTCTGCTTTTGTACGAAAGCATTTACAATTGATAAACACCCTAGTCTTCTCTTCCATGTCGGCTGCCTCTTTTATTGGGGCTTTTTTTTTTTTTCCTGCTACAGGTTATGGGAGAAGATATCATCCCAGAAAGAATAAAAGATGAAGTTCAGTCAGAGGTGAAGTGTGTTGGCTCAGCAGCCCTGACTGCCTTGGTGACCACATCCTCTGAAGAATTTGAAGACAAGTGGTTCAGAAAGATCAAAGACCATTTCTGGCCCTTTGAAAATCAGTTCCATGCAGAGATACAAATCTTGGCCGAGCAGTCCATTGAAAAACAAAACAGAAAACATTTTGCCCAGTATTAATTGTCTTTGTTTATTTCAGACAGGATCCACTGCTAATCATGGAATGTAGAGAATTAAAAATGATGATTTATGTTTTATACAAATGCCTTTTGTCCCAGATTATTTCTACTGTGTTTCTGTAATTTTTGCTTTTTGGATTTTGTTATCTCCTTATAAGTACTGTGTCTTAGGCTTACCACTTTTTTAGAAAATACCTGCTGGGCAAGTGTATAAAGTAGGGTTTTAGATTTGTGGTCTTTTAAAAACAGTTAATATATCATAGCCAGCAGTGTAAGAATCCACACTGGTTAGGTAAATTCATCAGGAATAACCAGGAAGGGTATGTCAAGCACTGCAGAGGATCTGGGGTCTTACCCTACTTGTGAGCTAACAGTTTAGCCTGTCACAGTTCCATGGATGCTGGCGGAAGACAGGTGGCTCCTAGGTCAGAGACAAAGGATTTTATTACTAATGCCCCAGCAAACAATATATGCTTCAGCATAATTTGTATCAGTTCCTCTTGCGTCCCAAGTCCCAGCAGGGCAGCACATACGGGCACAGATGAATGTGTACATTCGCACACAGTGAATGTGTGTTACAGTCTCCGGTGAGGCACATGCAGTGGGTAGCATTATAGGCAAGGAACCCTGAGTTTGCCCTTTGCTCCAGAGAGAGACACTGTTTCCTCTGTATGAAAGGATAATCTGGAACCAGGAGCATTGAATACCTCCTTCATGAGACATACAGAAGAAACCCCTCCACAGAGCACTGTCTCACAGGTTGATGGTCCTACCCTTTCAGCCAGGCAAGTTGTAATTACAGTCTGTAACATCATCTTCAAATGTGAAGGGCCATTACCTTATTTGGTGAATTATCTGGGATGGAAGGCTTCCTTTATAAGAGGAATTTAAAAATAAATCAAAAAGCTCATCACATGTTGTCCTGCACAGCTTTAATCTGCCCTTTCTCAGCAGAGAGAAGAGAATTCCAGCCCTGGGCAAAAAGGTGCAGTCATCAGGGTATCTTCCTGCTCACCCATCTTCCCTGTACCCTTCTCCAAACAAGAAAGGGGCTGATCTTGCTTATATTTTAAACTACTCTTTTAGTGACTGTGACAGCATGACCAGCAATTTGCATGTTAATATTTATTTTTCCATCTCTAATTTGTACAATTAATAGACACTTTAATTTAGGAACCCTTAAAAGTTTAGGAAAATCTTTCATAGCTCCCCGTTGCCTTGATTCAGCCATTTGTTGAGCTAGTAGCGTGTGGTTGCCCCCAGGATAGGGGCATAAGCTCTAAAGCTGCTTGCTCAGCCCTTCATGGTGTAGCTCTGGCTACCTGGAGCTCCATCCTTACTGCTCCTTGCCTTTAAGTGGACCATGGCTTTCATCTGGGATACCCTCCACCCCACCCCACCTCTGCCCCCCGCATCAAAAGGCTAATTGATATTATTTGCCTTTTAAGTCTGACTTAGATTTAGCTGCCCAGAAGTTGCCTTGACCCCCAGGGATCACGGTGTCTGCTTTTGTTACTGGACCTTACTACTATATTGTTTTCCATGTTTGCCTGATGATTTCCCACGATAGACTCTTAACTTTTGTAAAGTCAGGGACTATGACTATTTTGTTTGTATTTGTATCCCCAAGGCAGAGCACCTGGCATCTCACTAAATACTTGTTGAAAAGAATTGCTGTATTAATTGCCAAGCCCCTTATTTTGTTTGCACAAAGGTTACTGCTCTGTAGACGAGATACAGTGTTGAGGCAGTCCCAGCATCCTGCCTGTTTCTGTCTGTAGTGAGACTTCCTTCCATCCATCTAGGCTTCTAGACATGCTCCCTTTTCTTTCCCAGCCCCTCTCTGCTCCCAGTATCCATCCTAGTCCCTTTGCCAACTTTACCCATGCTTTGAGCTTTTAGTCCTCTGGCTTGCTTTCCAGACCTGTTGTCCACACCATCCCGATTGCCCAATTGGTCTTCATGGGTCTGCTCCCACCTCACCTCACTCCCGCCCCACCTCACCTCCCTAGCAGCAGCATGTTGATGCAAGTGAGGACCTGGTCTCCCGAACTCTGATGCCTTGGATGTAACAAAGGGTGGAAAAGGGCATCCAGGAAGTCTGGCCACCTCTGGTTTTCATCACACAAAAGTTATCACGATCATTTCCAGCACAGATGGTGAAGGTAATTAATTGAGCAATAATTACATAAAGAAAGATCTTCAGGCCTGCCTTTTCAGGCACCACCACCTTCTTGTCAGTGAGTGAGTCACTTGGAAGGTGAGCAAACATGTGCCACAGATGTGACTGTCTGCACAGTTAAGACCCAAGGGCAGTTCCTTGCCTCTTGCACTCTCCAATGGCCTGTCTTCAATAAGCAATAGAACTTAAGAGGGAATCTATGCTGGGTATATGAGCTGATCTTACATTCTCACATCCCTATCACCTTTGCTCTGGAGCCAGAGGGATCTTAAAAGGATCATTCAAAGTCCTGTGAGGCTTTACATGGTCTGGCCTTGGCCCACTCCAGCCCAAGTCACTCTGCTCCCTTTGGTACTGTCTCTGGCTTTCTCATATTCTTGGACTCCTCAGTTTACCCTCACTCAAGCCCTGTGCCCATCCAGTTACCTCTACTTGGAACATTCTCCTGTGATCCCCCAACCCTGCCATAAACTTCCCCTTCCTACGGATCTTAGCTCAAAGGTCATTCTCAGAGGAGATGTTCCAGATCTCCAGACTTGCTCAGGTCCCCTTTCAAATGTCATAGTTTCCTGTGATCTTTGGCATTGTAATCAATTCATTGTGGGTTCTTCCTTGCCAGATCCTAAGCTGCAGGTTGGTGTCTGGTTTGCCTCCTGTGCTGGGGTTCAGCTTTATGGACATGCCATGAGTTCTTTCACAGCTGCCTTGCTGGAGCTGCAGGCCCTGCAAAGGATCCTGAAGCTCAGTGAGCCACTCAGGACCATCCCTGTTCAGGCCGCTGCCAGGATCCAAAGCAGCCACTGCCACCTGCACAGTACTGCATTTCAAAAAAGATGTGCTTTTTAAGGAAAACTTTGGGTAAAACCCTCTACAGAACAAATCCAAAGCCACCATTTACCAAAGGATTGCTTAAATAGCAGCTTCCCAGTGCTTTTGAAATTTAATCTGTAAAAGTAGTCCACATCCTGTTTCCAGGGTCTTTTTTTGAGACAGAATCTTGCTCTGTCACCCAGGCTAGAGTGCTGTGGCATCAGCCCAGCTTTCAGCAACCTCAATCCCTGGGCTCAAGAGATTGTCCTGCCTCAGCCTCCCAATTACCTGGGACTACAGCTAGGACTACAGTAGAGATGAGGCCTTGCTCTTGCTCATGCTGGTCTCAAACTCCTGAACTCAAGGGATCCAGTTGCCTCAGCCTCCCAGAGAGCTGGGATTACAGGTGTGAGCCACCTGCTGCCCTAGGCCTTTTTTTTTTTTCTCAGATTAATACGCAGCTACACGGGATTGGGTTACATTGTTTGCATTTGTAAGGTAAAGTCCAAGTGGCACTTGTTTCCTTCACCCAGGAAGCCTGCCATACACCCCTGCATCGTTCCCTTTGGGTAGGATCTTACTAAACCCTCTCCTCCTCCCCTCTTCTTGGATTTAATTGAGTTTCTTCCTCAAGTGAGCATGTAGTTCTTAATCGACTAGCTCCAATTTCGTATCGAGTACACGTGATGCTTGTTTTTCCAGTCCTGTGATAATCAGGAGAGTGCTCTCCAAATCCATCCAGGTTGTAACAAAAGATACAAAAAGAAAGAACATTCAAGCAAACAAAGAGGAATATATAAAAAAAATCCCAAAGCTCTGATGGTGTGGCTGCACATGCAGTTTAGACAGATGCTGTGGAGCAAGCCTCTCATTCTCTGTGCCTGGCCCTGCCCAGTCAGGCCTAGGTCAGTGTTTTGGTCCTGTGGAAGCTGCTGCTATGAAGCTAGAAGTTGATGTGAATGATGCCTGGGTCTGCAAAACAGTCCAAAGAGGCGCAGCTCTAACCCTGTCTCCCCCAGTCAAAATGTGTCCACCTTGGCTTTGCCGGGGAGGTCAGGAGGAGCAGAGGGCATGTAGGCATTCGTGTCCCTTATCCTTTGCTCCCTCCTCAGCACAGTGTGGCTTCCTCACAGTTGTGTCTGCTTGGCTTTTGAGCTAACAAGCACTCCCCTAGCCCCTTCTCTAGGAATTGCCCATACACAGGGAGGGTACCTGGGAGCTGCAAGCCATATTTGTACTCAGCAACCCTAACTGGTTCCAAGGAGGGGAGCTTCCTGACCCGAGCTGGGTCCCTCAGATTCTCCCCTGGAGGTTTAGAAATGAAAACTTCTCATGCATCTGAACTCAAAAGCAGGACTTGGCAGTGTTCTGCCAGGCAGACTGAGAGCAGCGAAGTGGGTCTGCAGAGACAGACGAAATAAAGGAGATGCCCAAATAGGGAAAGGCAGAGGGATAAGTTCTCTGCTTTGCTATTTCCTGATTCCAAATGTAATCACTAGGATCTTTAAAAAATGGAAGATGGATGCAGGGAAAATCAGTGTCACAGAGGCACCATGTCACTAAAGGTGAAGGAATGGGCCACGAGGCAAGAAATTTGGGTAGAGAAGGAAACAGATCTCTGGTAGAATGTCCAGGAAGAAACACAACCCAGATGTTAGCCCCGTGAGGCCTGTATCAGAGTTCTGAACTATAGAACTATAAGATAAAAAATGTGTGTTAAGCTTTAAGCCACTATGTTTGTGGTCATTTGTTACAGGCAGTGAAAAACTACAGTGAAGGCTCGGCGCCTGTGGCTCAAGTGGCTAAGGCGCCAGCCACATACACCTAAAGTGGCAGGTTCGAAT